GTATGCGCAAATTACTCCAGGAGTTTCAATTGGAATCAGTCTTTGATTATTTGAAAGGTGAGTATAACAAAGATGGCGAAAAAATAAAATATATATTTTGAAGTGTTTATAAAAGTGTGCGCGTGTGTTTTTTATACATATGTAATATTTTACTCCAAATATATTGACTATTTCTACATACACATTTTAATAACGGTATATTTCCGAAAAATTCTTATGAAAATGTACATAAAGCTCAACAACGCCTGTTTGCTAAAATATATATGTGTACACACAAACACCTACTTGGTATACACATATTACCATGCAACAAAAGCGCGATCTTCAAAACGATAAGCGCAAAATTTCTTAGATCAAGAATATACTTCTTGCATTTCTAACGCGCATATATTTCAAGTATTACAAATTCTTAACGTAAGTGCAACACACTTAATCTTAGTGGAGAGAGCGAGTTGAAAGCAAACCAAAATGTCTCTGTTATTGTCTGTTGCATTGTGTATTTTTTGGAAGGAGAGAGAGTGTTGAAGCAAATCCAAATTGTATGCTCTATTCCGTTCTCATTGAATTTATTCGTATTCCTGGTCGTCGCTTACTATGTTTTTCAGTTTTGAGTTGTGAAATACCGTTAGTCATGTAGAGTTTTTTTGTGTATTCATTATTTTTGTGTTATGTAGCAAAATGCATTGATAGTTCTAAAGAATTTTGTTGATATCGTTATTTGTCGTTGCGCTTTACATTAGTTGTGTTTTATATTATTCTTCAATTACAATATTTCCATATTATCTTTATGGTTTAACAATAACTTTATATCCTTATTTATTTAGCTGCTCAAGTGCGGTATAGAAGAAGCAATACCTCCTCTTGGTCTTCGAATAGAATTTCGAGAAAAACTTTTCAATAGCAGGTAATAAAATTTAATGAGTATATGATTTGGCGAATTAAATTGAATTTTCAATATTATTTTATAGTTTGGTATCGATGACGAAACAATTTCTGTGCAATCCAAAGTCGTCAATTGGTTGACAGGAAAAGAGTTCCATGGGAAACTGCTGATTTGGTAAGCATTAACTTAAATGATTATTTGCAAAAAATTAGCAATTATTTAACATAGTCTTCATTTCAGTCTCATTTGATAAATTTACCACCATAGATTTTATATTTCGTATTATCTTTTCAGATCCAAATTGATTTCGAACTTTTGTATCCAGGCAAGAGTCATATGTTGTTTTCCAAGTGGCAAAATTTCAAAGGAAAAATTCTGCCATATCACGAAAGAAACGTCACCAAGTGAAGGACACACAACATCTAGGTGAACATGAGGAGTTTTTTGTATTATATAGATTTAAAAATGATTTTTCATTTATTTTTGGTATTACTTTATAATTTCTCTTAAAAATCAAATAAACTATATTTTACGTAAATCAACCATTGCTTTATTTCATATCAAACACGGAAAATATTTTGAATTCAGCTCGAAAAACTCAATTTAAATGACTTTGGGATCATTTCAATCACTGGCATTTCTTAAATCAATTTTATTTTTGAATTAGAACAAGTGAGAGTTTGGATTAAATCAAGTTTGGAAATATATTTCTTTATCATTTCAATCTGTGGTACTCTCAATTTAATCTTTTAATCAGGAACAAAATTCTTGAAACAAGAATATTGTGAGATAATTCTGATTTATAGAATGCTCAAATCAAGGCCACGTTGCGCTTGAATCAAGTTTTATTAAGCATTAAATCAATCCTAGCGATCTTTTACCAAGTAAATTTCGTACTTAGATCGAAACTAAAATAAACTTAAATCAATTCCAGTTTTCTTAAATCAAGACTCTTCTGAGCTTAAAGCAAACACAATCCGACACAAATGGTGCTAAAATTAAGAAATCCGCACTAGAAAAAACCGTACTTAAATCAAGTTTTTTCATCTTGGTATAAGAAAAACCACTCTTACCGTACTTTTGACACCGCTCCGGCTTCATTTAAGTACGGAATACTCAATTTTTTTTATCAGTGTAGGACATCCACTCTAGGCTCAATTCAGTACGTACACCATTTATATAAAATCGGACGAAAATATATATGGGAGCTATATCTAAATATAGGGACTTTGGTGCACCATTTACATGAAATCGAACGAAAATATATATGGGAGCTATATCTAAATCAGGACCGATTTACACGAAACTTGGCAGACATCATTCTAGGCTCAATTCAGTACGTTATGTCAAATTTCGTGCAAATCCAAAGATATATTTGTACTTTGGGGCACCATTTACATGAAATCGGACGAAACTATATATGAGATGTATATCTAAATCTGAACCGATTTTCTCAAAACTTGGCAGACATCACTCTAGGCTCAATTCAGTACGTTATGCCAAATTTCGTGCAAATCGAAGGATATATAGGGACTTTGGTGCACCATTTACATGAAATCGGACGAAACTATATATGGGAGCTATATCTAAATCTGGACCGATTTTCACGAAACTTGGCCGACATAATTCTAGACCTAAATGATTAGGCTGTACCAAATTTCTTGCAAATCGAAAGATATATAGGTACCGTTTACATTAAATCGGTTAAATATATATATGGGAGCTATATCTAAATCTGAACCGATTTTTCCCAATTTCGATAGGGTTCGTCCTTGGGCCGAATAAGTGACCTATGCCAAATTTCATCCAATTCGGATGATAAATGCGACCTGTACTTTGTTTACAATTTAACATGCACAGACAGACGGACGGACGGACATGCATAAATCGACTTAGAAAGTAATTCTATGCACATTCTCACAAGGAACCATGTGTCTATCTCGTTTCCTTTTGCCTGTTACAAACATATGCACAAAGACATAATACCCTGTACCACAGTGTGGTGAAGGGTATAAAAATTACACCTAAGTCTGTTTTACACGGTAGATTAGTTCCAGAAGAAGCCGTGTAAAAAAGGGAATTCCCCTAAATTAGTGATATTCACATTTGCTTTGACCAGTAAAAATTGTTTGTACGCGCTAAAAGGGGAATTCACTTAAATCTTTAAGCTAGTGTTCGCAAACTATCGATACTATCGATGGTTTCAGACTTTTTTCTTTCATAAATACTTTTTTGTGATATGAACATACTTCGCAAAAATTAAATTTGACAAAAAAATTAAGTACATAAAATTTCAAATCGTACTAAATGGAATAAACTCGTGTAAAAAAAATTAAAATATTCAATTTTCAAACCGTATTATATCAAAACCGTGTAAAAACAGACTTAACAGACTGTACAATAATTTCATTGTATTTTCTTCTTTAATTATGGGTAAAAATCAACTCAAGAATGATTCTTCAAAATGTTATCCAAATAACTCCATTATAATATTATTCAAAAAAAAAAAGGTACAAATGTACCCGGTTATTGATCGTTCCGAAGGCTGTACCTTACGATTTGTAGTGCTCGACCGCGTTTCCAAACATTTTTAGTGTACCAACTTGAGGAACACTATCATCGTTGTGCTACGGTACACTGAGCCGTGTTTTGTACTGTATCTATTAACAAGAATAATATTTTACAAATTTGTAAAGCATACTTTTAGGCTTATTTGTGTAACAAACTCACCACGTACATACCTTTTAAAAATCCAACACCACACAAACCGAACTTTGTATTGGTTGAATTTGCAAAATTCCTCAAGACACATTGTTTTCAAATAAATTTGTAAAGGCTAAAGGTTTTCGAACTAGTTCTATATACCCTTAACAAGTTCTTTAGCTAAATTTTTGGACATATAAGTACTAAAAATATCCGTGCATTTTTTTACAAATATGTATTAAGGGTGAGACCCGAAGCTATAGTTTTCCCTGCCTACCCCTGCCATACTTTCCCACTAATAAATTGTTGTTTTTATAAAAACTACTGATTGGGATTACGCCTGACTATTTTGCAATAACAAACTAGAAAAAATAATCAATAACGCCAGTTATTAGTCTTAAAAAAGTAAGTATGCATATATTTCTGTATGTATTTTTTATAATATATTCACACATTTGATAAGTTTATATTAATAAATAAAAACACAAAAACTATAAATGCGAGAACTTAATAAAATTAAAACAAAAACAATATCGAAGCATTATATTTTTTTCTTTTGTGCTTTAATACAATTTGAGTCCTTTTTTTCCTCGGTAATAATGCGATCACATATAAACATATACAATAATATAAATTATATAATCTTATAACCTAAATATATTAACAAATAAAATATATAATATTTAAATTATTGTTTTTGTCATGTCTTTTGTACAAAAATAGTGTTTCTTTTTTTACTAAAACTAAAAGCCAATTCTCAAACGAATTGAAAACTGAAATATAACATAAAAAAATAATATTAAAAAAATATTTGATTTTATATCTTATATTATTATGTCGCATATAAGAAAAACTAACTAGGTATTTATAAATATGTAGTTATTCGTTTTTTTAATTTTTTTTTATTAAAAATTATCATATGGCAAAAGATTTCGGATCATATAAATGTACGTATGAAATTAACATGGACTGAAATGTCCCGGAAGGGCTAAGCATACTAAAGCATTATTTAATTTTATAAGTGTTTCAATTTTGTCCCGAACCAGGTGTTTGTGTTAATTTCCTGTTTATTGTTAAAGAATACTGGAATGATGTTTGTTTTTATTTTTAGTATTTAACTATTGGTCTGTTCCAATACTGCAAGAATCTACTACTTTTAGTAAATTCTTCCATGATATCGAAGAAAATGTTAAAATTCAGTAGATTCTTGTAGTACGGAGCCATATCATATGTTAACTTCCGAACCATCTCAGCCTATGTATTATAATTGTGTATTAATTAAATATATAAATTATCTGTATATACAACGGCTTTTGATTTTCGATTACTTATAGTTTAACTTTATATAATAACTTTAGAGATATCTACTTTCATATATTTTGTTTTTCTTTTTTTTTTCTTTTTTAATTACAATTTATGATGTTGTCAAGCCACCACTGTCCGATGCTGCTACAGGTGGTGGTTCAGTTTCACCAACTTTTAATTTTTCCGGCAATACTTCGGGAGCATTAATAATGCCATACGGCCGCAAATGATATATGAGATAGTCGAGAACATACATTTGATTAGGTGTAACATAATGGAAGGAGACCGCATGATCGGAACAGCAATCGAGACCCTAAAAAAAATGAGGAAAGGAAAATCAATGAAGTGTTTCGTAAATGAAAAAACTATGTATAACAAGAAAAAATCGCGCGAAATCTATCAAATATTAATAAAAAACGTATAATTTTTTCGATGTTAAAACCTATTATTATATTTTTACACATCTCCCAACTGATATTTACCTCATCTGTTTTATAATAGATATACTGCCAATACCAAAATTTCTTATCCGTATGATTTGGTATTAAATGATGTTCCGGCACGAATGGGAAGAAACGGCCTCGGGCATGTGAGTCTCTCGAATCCCCCGCTATCACATGGACCTTTTCCAAACATTTGCCGATTTCCACATCTTCGGCACCGCTATTTTTGGGACTACATAATTTGGAATCTGGCATAGCCTTCTCGACAAAACGGCGTACAGCTTCTTTGCTCAATACATAACCGGCACCACCAGACATGTAGCCCTAAAAGCAACCAAAAGAAAAAAATCGATTACTTATGGAATTTAAATTAATTTGCAATTTTTCTCTGCTTACCTGTTTAACAAACGGTTTAAATCTACAACCAAAATATATTGGAGTCTCCGGCGAATAGGGATACAGTAGAAAACGTAGATTCTCCACAATGGTATAAGTATCATCGTCAGCCTTAAAGAACCAATCAGCATCATCCATGTGATTCTCATAAATGTAACGATAGGCGGCCTTTGTTTTCGCCCATAAATTATTTCGACCTTCAGCAACGGGTAGGGCTACCGTACCCAATTCTGGATCCTCTGATGAAGACATAAATAGCAGTTTATTGCAACGTTTACCCCATGTCCTTTTGACATGTCTCGCTTTGGTCTGATGATTTTTGGGATTTGTCATTATCCAACAAAGGACACGAACTTCATTGTATAATTTTTGTGCCACGGTATTATTTTCGTGTGCATGTTGATGACTGCCAACATCCATTTCCGGACCCGCCACATCCATAAGATCATGACTGGCATGTGGATCATCATTAATGTCGCCATGTTGATGACCGGAATAGAGTAACCATTCGGGTTTTTCTGGTGTGGATAGTACAAAAAGTTCGGCTAAACAAAATCCCACCACCAACCCGACAATAAGGGAGGCTAGGGAGCGGCGATTTGATCGGGTACCTAAAAATAATTTGAGAAAAAACCATTAAGTATTTTATTTAGTTTTTTGTTTGTCATATATGATTACTCACCATCGTGTACTATTGTCCTACCCAGCAAATAGTTGGCAGTCATTTGTAAGCTTTTTATGTAGTTTTCTTTCCTTTGGTTAGTTTATTTTTTAAATTATTTTTTTAGTGTATTCTTAGCTTAGTTATTGTTTTTTAATCAATATCATTAGGGGTTACTGATTTATCACAACTTTTATGCTTATCACTTATCTATAATATTTCTTTGGTATTTGTTTGCAGCTTTTCTGGAATATCAGAGGATTTCTTACATTTTCTAAAAGAAGAACAAAAAAAACGAATATGATTAGTTAAGTAATATATAGATATATTAATAAAATAAGAAATATTCTACTATCTAAAAAATCTAATATTATTAAAAATATATCAGTATCTTAAGAAAGCAAAAAAATAGCGTGCGGAATTCCAAAATGTACTTCTCGGGACTCTACTGTATTAAAATTGATATTCTTTGGTATCCATATAATTTCTCTTTCATTTCAACGTTTCATATTTATTTTCATGTAGTGCTCATAAAGCTGTTTACTTAAATATAAACAATTAACGTTTATTGACGTCTTTTAAAAGAACGCAAATAAAATAAAGAAATTTAACTAAATTCTTAACAAATGTCTTTTTTTTGCCAAAGCAAGTTAACCCAAAAACAAAGTCATAATTATTGGATTAATTTTTTTATTTATTAACAATTTATTATTAAAAGACGGAATGACTGGATGTGACTGGCTTTGGTTAAGATCGTATATTTACGATATTTTCATTGTTTTTGTGAAAAAATTACCTTTGGTGTGGAGAAATCAAAATGAATGGCTTTATTCGAAGCTAACCTTGATTTGGTACAAACATTATGATGTGTAAGGGGGTTACAAAAATGTTGTGATCTCTATCATGATTTCAGCAGACAGCCGGACACGCATAAATCTCCATAAATTTTTTTTCTGATCAAGAAAATATACTGCGTGGTTTTTTCAAGGTTCTGTAAATGAAATGACAAATTTAATATAGACTCCACCTTATGGAGTAGGAATTATTATATGGAATTATTAATTTCAAGGTGGTGATTCGATCCCTGAAAACATAAAATGCCTTAAATCGATATTTTCTTTTTTCTTCTGGAAAACACGAATATATTTCGTATAAAATATAACTGTCGTGAAGTAAAGCCTCCAAACACTGTACAAAATTCAAAGAGGCGTTGTTTCTACGCAACAAAAGATGTCAGCCACATCACATAGGACAGGCTACAGCAGACCAATCATTTACTTATATCTCGTAATGCCAATATGCTGCTAATGCCTTCAAAATACTTAAAACGGACTTTTTATGAGATTATTATATAAAAAGGATTGATTTTGGGAAGCTGATTTGATCTGTAAAATATGAAAAGAAGGACATATACAGTCGAATTCGGTTAAGCGAAAACACCTAATTTCAGAAAATGTTTTTCTCTTAAGCAGGATTTTCAATTAAAAGAACATCGGATAAGCGAAACTCGTTGCGCTTGAACGAAGTTTTCAATCAATATCTAAAAAATCGTGAAATTTATTAATCATAATATGAAGTGAATTGAGTAAGAACTTCTTTTTTCGTAGACATTTGCTTGGATGGTTGGAAAATGTGGAATATAAGTTTAGGTTGCACATACAAATTTTAATGAAGTTCGTCGCCATTAAAAAAATTATATTTTTTCTCTTAAACGGTGATCGTTTCATATATATTTGTGTTTTTGCAGCCAAAAAGTCTTTCTCTTATACAGATTTTCAATTAACCGGTTTTTCTTTTAAGAGAAGTAAAATGTTTGAAAATTCGTCCGAAATATTAGTTTAAAATTTTTAATTTCAATAAACCGGCGTTCTCTTATCCGAATTCGACTGTACACACAATTTCTTTTAATTTTCTGGTATACTTTACGACATTTCCTATAAAAAATAACCTTCGAAATGTGCATTTATGCAATTCAAAATAACAATGTGGTTACCATAACAAAAAATATTAACGACAAGAGATAGCGCCACCCAGATGAAAATGTCAACACTAAATTGGCAAGGACTCAAACCGCTGTACAAAATGCAAAGAGGCGTTGTTTCTACGCAACAAAAGATGACAGCCCCAACACATAGAATAGGCTACAGCAGACCAAACATCTGCCAAGGCATTCAAAACACTTAAAACGGACTTACATGGGATTTATAAAAATACATTGATTGTATTGAGGTGGTGATTCGACCTTTGGAAACTTCAAATGCCTCAAATCAACTGGCGAAAAATTTCGTATAAAAAATAACATTCATTCATAACATGCTGCTAAGACCTTCAAATTATTTAAAACGAACGTGTATTAGATTTATGTAAAATATTGATTTTGTGGTGGTGATTTGATTTGACCTCTGAAAACTTAAAATGCCTGAAATTAACTGGCAGAAACTTATGTGGGGGCGATATGAAATTATGGATTTGTACTGACCAATTTCCTGTACCTTCGGGAAAACTCGACCATATTTCGTATATAAAAGGGCCTTCAACAAATATCGATGCCAGGAGATAGGACAAATATCTATGCCGAAGGGAAAATGGCAATACTAAATAAGCAAGGCCTCTAAGCCTGTAAAAAATTCAAAAAGACATTCTTTCTAAGCAACGATAGATGGACAGGCTACAGCAGACCAATCATCTACTTAACTTGGATAAAAAACAATGATTAACGATACTAACACAAAGACTAATCAACTAACACAAAGACCGATGGTTTGTTGAAGCCATATGATCCCAAGAGGAGTAAGAAGACAACAAAACTATAGTTATTATATACGTTGGGTATATACACGTTGAAATATTTTCTTTGGACCAAGTCCGTTTCAAAAAATTTGGAGTCGATTTACACATGTCCGTCCGTCTGTCTGTCTGGCTGGCGCATGATAACTCTCGAAGGCAGCAACCGATTTCATTTAAAATTTTCACATCTTAATATTTCTTCCAAACTTAGTTTAAGTTGGAAGTTAGGGAATATCGGTCCACTTCTTCTGTTACCTCCCTCCACAAAACGCTCGAAATTGTGTTTACAATTAATTTTATAATAACATGTAAACGGACTATGCGGTTTTAACTTAAATGCAATAGCAGGCGAATGGAATGCCAGATCAAGTCTGAAGATGGGAACCATTGGTCCACTCCTTCTGGTACCTCCCCCACAAATGGTCAAAATTTGTAAATCCAATATCAGGCGAATAGAGTGGCCGATATGAACCAAACTTTGCACAACCCGTTATCTTTACGAAGTTTAGATTAAGTCGAATGATGGGAAGATAAATCCGAAACCTCTTGGATAAAAACATATTTCTTATATAAAGCTAATAATAAAATGTGTTTGTAATTCCGAATACCTCCGCAAACCATAGGCTGGGGGTATATATCTGTCGGCAACACCCACTAACACTTTTCTACTTGTTATTAATGATAGGCTAATATTTATTTACTCAAATGAACCAAAAACATTATTTTTGTGTGTGTTTTCTGGCCCCTCTATGACCCGAAGATTACAAAAGTATCTGTCCACGGAATATGGACATTTATAATCGCACAATATTAACTGAGCAAATGGACCCAGACTTTTTCCAAATGTTCATCCTATGGCGTATATATTTACTTCTGGAGGGCATAGACTGGAGAAGTTTGGCAGTATATCCCAGAGGAGTGGTTGGCTATTATATGAATACCAATTATATATTTTTCAGATTTACCACATTACAACACCAGAGGATTAAAATGTCGCGCTGATTGCTCTGAAATTTTATATGAAATTTCGTTTATTGTCCAGGACGACAGCTATAGTTTTTGGTGGTCATCAGATGATTGTATTTTTTTTTTTCGAACAATTGCAAATCAATCATCACAAATTTTAAATGGTAGTTGAGAAGACTATCCGCCTTCGTCCGACTATACTGGATTTCAATGTTGTTTCGTATTTATAAAGCAGATGATGCAATTATCACTAATTTGTTGTTCCAAAGGAATATTTACCTGTGTCGAATATGGTCGGAACGGGCCCTACTGTAGCATTTGTTTTTTTATTTGATTTGCAGTTGCGTCCTAACGACGATTGCTTTATGATAGCTTTTGAGAACTGCACTCTCGTACTAACTATATCGACTCCTAAAGGCTCTATATGCCTAGGAAATAGTGTGCGGTACATCAAATGCTCTTCGAAATACATGTCACAGCGACAACGTTATATGTTAAAGAAACACTGAAACGATGTTTTGCAAACTGTATCTGTTTCACAAATTAAATAAACACAAACAGTTAAATCAACAAAACAATATGTGCAAATAATGGTATCTATAAATGGCATTGAAGAGCTGTGTGTGTACTTTCACACTCCAGTCTTCTATCAAATATATATTTTTTTTGGGGGAGGGGAATTATTTAGGGGAAGTAGACTCAAGAGGTGTATTACTTGTATGTTTAAAACAAAGTAAGCAAATGCAGAAGATTTAAATATATATGTTGGATAGAGTTATTTTAGGTTCAGGTTTTGATATGTTCAACATCCCTTCAAGTGTACCTACATATTAAAGTTTTTTTTTTTTTGCAAGACATTCTATTCGTTTAATCTTCTTTTCACAGACACTACATTTTTTTATATTTTCAGTAACATTTTCGATTCCGTGCCAATTTTATTTGGAATGAACGTCACAGTTATATTGAAGTGATGGTGTAGTGACAATATACATGTACGAGTATACGAAAACATTAGTCATATTTTGTGCACATGGGCAGTTGCAACTGTAAACAATATGTGCACCCTTAAAAGTACTTCATGATAACAATAAATTCCTATATAATTCAAAGTATTTATATATATATATACATATATAATCGAAAAATGTATTTCATATATATATATATATATATATATATAAATAATCGAAAAATGTATTTCATTATTTAAGCAGGGATAAAGAACAAACAAAATGGTACGACAATAAAATTCATTAAATATGATTTTTATACCCTCCACCATAGTATGGAGGGTATATTAATTTTGTCTTTCCGTTTG